CGTCAGAGTGACTTCTTATGTTAGGCAAGCTTAGGCAAAATTAAGATTTCACCATTCACTCCGGCGGCGTATGGTTATCTCTGTCTTGAAAAGCTAGTAGCCCTGAAGTAGAATGTCCCATGTTGGCAGGAGTATTGTCACGTGCTACTGTGGTCGGTATAAGAGGTTTCCACAAGTCATGAAATGATAACTAACCAGACAGTGATAACTTAACTTGAACTTACATGAAGCACCCTAATATTTCATGCAATGGCACGGACGCAAGTACTCGACTAATAAAAAAGTATATATATGAAGAAGCTTCAGTTCATCATTAAGCACAGTTTCTTCGAACGAAATACTGATACGTATTGAAGCTGCAGCTATGCACAGCCAGAAATTGCTTTCCTACTAGTGGAAAACACGATGATTCATATGATTTTAGTATAAGTTATAAGAAATGACTTTCTTAGACCAGAGGGCGGGGAAGCTTTCGGGCTTCCGCTAGGAACACGTTTTCGCCGGCATTCCCCCCTCCCCTTCGTGACTCGTTTTTTCTTCGATGAACGCTTAGGTTTTTTGAAACGTTGCCGACAGCATTTTAAGATCATTAGCATTCTCCGCTTCATTAGCGTGTCATAAGCTGAATCGTTTTGTTTTGAGCAACTTGTCTACATGCTACGGATGGAGTGATATGGCATAATGGCATACAGCTATTCACAATAATTTTCTCTAAAGTCAACCTTTGATTCGTATTTCCTTTGAAATAAATATTCATGGCAATTTTTTCAAAGGTAAAGTACTGTAATCAGGTTCAGCAGGCACTAAAATTGCTGAAAAATCATGGAATCGTGATCTGTTTCTTCTTCAGTTCACCCCGTGCAATGCAACTGGGAGTAAGAGGGTGCTGCAACATGCCAGAAATCCAGTTTTAGAGAAATTATGTGATAATCATGTCATGAACAGAGTCCTTTGGATAAAGTATGTCTATTTAAAAATCAAGGTGTATTGTGTCACGAATTATTCATGCAATAACTGCCTATTATATCAACATCGATTTTTCGAAATTTCGGGAAAGTGGTCCAATCTTACCGTCAACATTTAAGTGTCACTCTGGTGCTATAAGGAGTTGATAAGTTATGACATTATTACATCAGTATATTTTATCCTTGATTAAGACTGTTTTGTAGCCAATCGTTTTCTTAGGTGCCCTAGAACTCTAGCATCAAAAAACCTATTCATTCGTCCTACCTATCGCTGGACAATGTCGTCTTGACTTTTTTTACTGTTCCCCCATTTTTCTTTGGAACATCAACCATGCCCTAATTCTGTTACGCCGGAGGTCGTCAACTGGCGCATGATTTTTTCATTTCAAGATTTTCTGTGGCATTGCACCGTTTTCCGGCTCCCAGCCCGAAATGACCATAGAGAAACTCCCGCTCTTTCAGCAAGAACTGCTTGACCGGCAGAAGGAATAGAAGTTCACCTCTCGGCTCATTCCACCTGCTGCAAACACCTGAATAAGCATCGACCTTCGCCCACAGGTTTACCTCGAACAGGGTATGTGTGATAAGAGCTGAAAATTTGGTATAGTTCTATCTCCCGATTGCCATCTAATTACGTTCCTTTAAAAATCGTTTTGCTCCCATTTGTTCATTGAAAGAGCAGTCATAAAGCCATACCTGGAATATTACATTTGAAAGCAAAACTTTATGAAAACCGAAAACAAACGAAGATTGAAACTATATATCGTGCTAATGATCTCCATTGCATCATTGCCAAGAGGCCCACGACTTTCAACGGAGACGTATAATGTCGCGTGAGGGCATAATGGGATAAATATATAACATAAACTGCAGAAGGCATGGCAGACAGAATAAGAAGAATAAATGTTTCAACTGCTAACAAGTAGCTATCCAAACTTTTGAATTCTTCAGCTGCTGAATTGCTAACCAAATAAGAGAGGATTAGTGTTTGAGCCAAATGCAGAGGAAACGAATAATTAATCTTTTGCCTACGAGGAAGCTTTCCTTTATTATCGCGCAAGTGCAGTCCATAATCAGGATGCCAAACATTTGGATTAGCCATGAGAGTAAAGTCTCTAACGCTCGATTAGCGATGACGAACAATAAAAGAAATGAAATATATATTCGATTATTGCCGACACTCCACCATCGTTTTTAGCATGGTTTCCAATTGAGAGATGGCTCGGTGTGCACCGACAAATTTAAACCAGTCGAAAGAATATTCGAAGTATTGAGTATTCATACGGTTCGCTAATTTACGAGGTCATTAGCTCACGGACCGAATATATTCCAGCCGTTAATGTGAAGGACTCCGAGACACATGCCATCGTTAAGTTTTTAAGGCTTTAGAAGCGTCCGAGAACGGCCGACATAAGTTAACGAATATTATGCATAAATCTAGATCCAATGTCAGGCGATCTGTCATGGTTCATCGCCATTTCTACAGACACATCGAAGCGAACCATTCAGTTATTTTCGAAATTTCCTCATTTGCATGCCAACTCACTGTAACATTGTGAATGGCGAGTAACTAGTTGAGTTGTTGCTTGGTTCTTTATCATCATCATCGCCACCGACATCATCACTGATGCCCCGGTTCATTTCATGCCTTCAGGCTTACCTGCCCCTTTGTCCCTTCATTCCCTTCTATGGTCTTCCTGAAATATTTGTGATTTTCAAAATTTTTCGAACGGTGGTCCGGCACGCCCATCGTCGTCGGTAAAATCGTTTCTGTTGGGCTTCTATGTGGGTGTCTCTGTTCCCTCTCCCGGAACCGTCTACTTCGCTGTTCAATTAACCACCGTCTGCCGTGCGTCCGTGAGAACGCTTAAGTATCTCCGACTAATCCCTAGTGCAAACTAGACTCTTTGCTGACATTGCCAAGTTACAGTAGGAAGGTAGAAAAAGCGGCATTAAGTTGTTGCAAATGCTGAGGTGTTTTGGTGACTTTTTTGCAGTCACAACTCGACGATTAATTTCCCGTGGTCCACGATGGCTGTGTACACAGTGCATAGAGGCTTCAGCGTACATTTTAGAGGGTCTTTTAGATTATTCTATGTCAACTTCATTCGGAATCATTCGAATAGTAATTCAAACTCGAACAAAGGCAAATGAAGAACAGGTCGGAAAGCTGGTTCAGAGAACGTCGCCCCTTCATTTCGATCCTGTTTTCAATAAAAAATGAAAACAAGCATCCTGAACACAACAGACGTTCTGCATAGCTGCATAATCAAGTCTTAAGGTTAATTCGCTTGTCTCAACTCAATGTATGAACTCCGCTTAAACACAAGACAGCACAATACGACTTTCTTGCCCATAACTCATTCTGGTTGTTAATTGGATGACTGACCGACAATAACATTTCGGTTTATTTCCCAGCTGGTTCTTTTACGTATATTGTGAGTCGAAGGTCGGTGATTGTTGGGATAGTATGCAGCAAGTGGATCGTTAGGACCAGCGATGGTAAAGGAATCATCTACTGTAAACGACCCAAACTGGTATCGAATTTCGACCTATATGAACCTTGGAGAACGCCCGTTGATACGACGATGCGTGTCGGTGCTTCACTCGATGACTTCCAATTTGCGCTATTAAGGATAAACCGTTTTTATTTCTTGTTTTGTGTGACTGCCAACATATGAGAAATTTTCGATTTTTGGATTCTGCTAGCATTTCGCTAAAAGATTAATGAATGAACGTAATAGCAATATCCCAATGAATATCAATCACCATGTTTAAAGAATGAATGATCGCTAAAATGACATTCATCATAGAAGAATCAGTCTAAGATATCTGATATGATCACTGATCAATAGACATATCAAAATTTATATTAACAATCTATAACATAGCTTAAGGAAATTAAGTATGACTAACTGTGTATGTATGTATGTATGTATGTGTGTGTGTATGTATGTATGTATGAACGAATAAATGAATCAGTTAGTGAAGGGATGAATGAACGGGTGAATACGTGAGCGAGTGAGTGAAGGAGTAAATGAATGGGCGAACGAATGAATGAAAATGCAAATAAATCAGTAAGTGAGTGAGTAAATGAACAAGTGTGTGGCTGCCTCAGTGGATGATTGAGCGAGTGGATGAATGAACAAATAAATTATTCAATGGCTGATTGAGGGAACAGGTGAGTGAGTGAATAGATG